CAGTAAAGGCATGGCGAGGAGTCGCGTCAGAATCGGCAGCGACAAGAGCAGCTGCTGCATCGCCGGAAGAGAAGTAGCCCTTGAGGGCTTCTTGCGAATCTCCATGTAGACCGGAAACATAGCCGAATACCGAACCCGGCACGATGGTAATATTTCTGCCGGCTTGGTTAAAACGGAAACATTGCGTTTCCGCTCTGACAACTGTTTCAATCGCTTGTTTTCCGGATGAACAGGAGTCGACGAGCAGCGCACCGAAGTCGAGGTTCTTTAGAAGGACTAGGTCGGGGAATCGCTGTTTGAATGTCCATACCTATAAACTGTCTTAGGTGACCCAGGTATTTCTTAGGTGTTAGGAATTGGTGAAATTACCGTATGAACAAATGCCATTGGTAGGCTGATGTCAGTAGCCTTCATCGACTGGCATTTCGCGCCACCGTGTAGATCGAATAAGCCAATCAGATACATTTGGTAATGGCGGGGAATAGATAGGAAATGCCTCTGAAGTAGCAATACCATATACTCAGGTCTTAAGATCTATCCAAGAATTTTTTCAGAAAACCTATTTGAAAGTAGTGTTTAGTCTTAAAGAAAATGACTTGCTGAATTTTATAACAATCGCAGGTTTTTAAAAAAGTAAGAAATAAATAAACTTCCTCTAAAATTCTCCTTTTACTACTAGAACATAGAAGTTACCTCTCCATTCACAGTTTGAACATTGGGGCATTGTCCACAGAATGGACGATATGGGCTGCAGATTGATCTCTTTCGCTGATCTGCTGCTCTGATGGATGACATCGTTACGGTAGGCTGACGTCCGGTTGTGAACGACATCAACTGATATACATTTGTCTTCCCGCCACTATTGTAGAGTTCGATAGCTTTCACATTCATGCCCGATGCTATCAGCACTTTCTCACGGCCTGGAAGTTTATCGGTTTGAGAATGATTACGGTATCGATATTCAAAAAATACCTTCATTCATAAAATTTTGATTTGTTAACAATATGCTGTCGGTTTCAGTTGTTGTTGGCTTCTCTAAGGGTCATACTTAGTGCAACTATTCAGCTAATTTTTGTACTTCACCACTATTGACATAACTTTTAGAATCCTTCTTGCTAGTTCAACTAGACTACAGTAGGGGGCAAGTATTGCCAATTTTTGTCTCGCGCTCTTAAGAAAATTCTCTGCCCTCGTCAAGGACGATTAGGTACTATAATACAGACTTT